CGAGAGGTCACTTTTGTCGTTTCTTGTTGTTATTTTACATGTAAAATCAATGGTATTAGACGAGGATGTGCGGTGCATTCACATTTTGCCTCTGGTCCTTGTCCAGTTAGCCGAACGCCAGCTAATTCCGTGGATTATAGACATACAACAGCATTCATATTGACCGATACACATAAACTGAAATGAAACGATTTGCTATGCGCGCCATATTATCGCTCTTCACGTTCCATCCAACACACGTATTCAATTTGCTTAATGTGAAGGGATTTCACTTTTTGTACTTTTGACTTATGCGCTCGCTTCTTTTGTTTCATGCAACACACACACACACACACACATACACAATTTTTCGTATTTGGTTTGTTTGTTCATTTGTTTGCTGCTATGTGATCGTTGTCGTGTGTGGGTAGTGCAGTAGCCAGTTCTTGTGTACAAGAAATGCGAAAAGAGAAACAAGAAACGAGTTAATGAATTCTAACGATATTGTACGTAGGCAAGAACGAATAAAAACAAAGCACAATATACAGTTTACTGTTTACACTCGCTCCGTACGTAAATATGTTTTTCAGTTAGAATATTAAATGTGCAGGATAAAAAGCTACATGGGTATGCATCGCACCAACACACAATAGCATATGAACTGGTGCATTATCGTGGCTGTGTGATGCTAGTAGCCGATATAAATGTAAACAAATGAAAGTAAACCAACTACTGTAAATAACTCATAATTGTTTCGTGAAAAAATCTGATGGTTTGATTATACTTTCTGCTGTAAATCTTTGAGCCAAATGAGTTGACGCATCATATCGAAAAAAGCAAAATGTGTTGCTGAAACTAACAGTAACCACTCTCTTTTCGAACACAGTTTTTGTTCAAATCAGAACATAATCCCTTAATTCTTAAGCTTTTTATTTGGGATATGTCGTAAAAGTAGAGGCCACAAACGCAATTCAATTATATTCATTCAAAACAATAGAGAAACTAACAAGAGGTTTTCGAAAAGTTGAACCGACCGATTTCAGAGAGAAACGGCTATGGAAACGAAATTCATTGTCTTTTCTTTTTCTTTTTTTTGTTGTTGTTGAGTGATTTAAAATTCAACTTTTTTCAGTTTGCTGAAAGCATTTTCTAATCGTTATTATTGATGCAGCAAACGCTCGACAAGTGAGATTGTCAATAGTCCAGTGACAACTTAAGTAGTGCGTGTACAACGGGATCCCGTCAGATCAATGAGTGAAGAAAAAACCAAACAATGACATTCTCGGAAATCGTTTTTTATTGTTCAGCTCACAAGAAATTGAAACTCAGCTCAAACAAAGTATCTTTCCACTAAAAAACGCAGCAAACCCATAAAGTTTGTTTTATTTTCCATTATTTTCGTTTTGTTATGCGAGCGAGAGGAAGAGAAAAAGAAAGTGTGCTGCTTTGTGCTGGCTTTTGTTTTTATTCGCACAATGTCAAGTTCTTCATCGGCAAATCTGATTATACCGAATCGGATTCTTGAAGACGGTTCCAGTGCAGTGTGTGCTGCGCGTTTTGCATCATCCTGCTGATTATTATCATGCAAACTCTAGAACGCGAATTAAAATTAAGCTTCATCACATTTTTGGGCGAAAATCACTGAGAACGTAGTAGCCCACTGGGATGATGATTAGTCAATTTTTTTGCTTTTGTTCTAAAAAAAGGCGCTACCAAGTGTTGCAGCATTTTTCATTGTTGCTGTAATATTATCGTCACGTTTAGCTATAGTCAACACTAGGAATGGAGCGTTCAAAGTACTCGAATCTGAACAAAGTGGTGTGATGAGGTACAATTTTTTTCTCGCCCGTCATTCAACTCGCATTTCAGCCAAATGTATTTGAAATTTTTTGTTTTAGCCTGTTGTGCACATTGAAACGATGTTTTCTGTTGTTTTCCATTTCATGTTTTCCACAAGACCCCAATTTTCTGGGTCACCTGATGAACACTGCGCACTTTCCATCTTTTTTTTTCCTGCTGTACACAAAATGCTCTCCACATTTATAGTTTCTTGAGCTATGGGAAAGCAAAAATCAGTAGGCGTATGGTACGCTGTCAGCATTGGGTGGCTGTGAATATAAGTGTGATTGTGTGTGTGTACGTATACGTTATGAGCAAGCAAACAAAATTTGGCTTGAGAAAGGACAAATGGGTTTGTTGTGCGAAATTTGCCTTCACTGGATACATCCCAAAGGTGCATTGTCGTTTTTACTTGAAACGAACCACACATACACAGATACACAACTTGATACGCACAAACAATTGGACGGAAGATGAAATAAAATAATAAAAACAGCAACAGCAACAACATCAACAAGAACGAAAATGTGATTAAAATGAATTACCTAACGTTCAGAGTGGACCTTTCTTGTTGAAACAAAATACACATTGAACAACCGAAACTGTTCAACACAGGTTCCTTATTAGGCTATGCGAAAGAAAAAAAAACGAGAAAAAAAGGAAAGCAAAACATCCATGTAGTATGGACACAGAGCCGAAAATTTCACCTGACGCAACAATACATATTGAGCAAAACACAGCTATATGCAATGCCAACGCAAGATGGGTTCTATTTTTGCGCTTTAACAAAGCTCACCGCTCAGCAGGTGATTCAGTAAATAATTTAGAAAACAACGACAAAGGAGGCTGTTGCGAAACACACAGCACATCGATATGCACTACTCACACACATACAAATACTAATACTAATACTAATACTAATACTAATACTAATACAAACGCAAACACAGAAACAAAGTAAGACGAAAGAAATTAATAATCAGTGCAGGGGAGCACGAGAATGTGAAGAGAATGGAAACGTGAAAGCGAAATTAAATGATCAGATCAGGACGTCGGTGTTTGGATGTCCAAACCAACCAACAAATGAACGGATAGACAACAAGAGAGATTGATTCCAAGAGATTTACGCATCAGTGGCACCATCGACGGCACAATAGTTGCTGAATTGCTAAAAGCAATTAATGTGATGATGACATATTGTTTATACAATTGCAATGTTATGATTATCGAACATTCAACAAAATCTATATGATTGCCAGTGTGCCTACGTGCGTACCATAGCAAAATGAATCCATTGCGATACGATCATGTTAAATGAAATTGTTTGAATGCCCAAAATATCAATAATTTTTTGTGGAATATGATTTTCAGTGGAATTCTATCATTCATCTCTTCGTCAGATTAAGCACAACCAAAACGACTGAGCGAGATAACAGGCCAGCCAATTCGCGATTGAATTAGGAAATGCACTAAACGTCCTTCTCAATTCCGTCAATTCCTTCCGAATGTTTTTTCAGAAATGAATCCAATGTACAATGCATTGTTGAATTCAAGAGAAAATTAAAAATTGATTCAAATAATTTTGATAAGACTGCAAAAGAAAAAAGTATTCGCGAACATAGTTCATGTTGGTGAGTTATGATGGAGCTTGTCGGGAAGACTTACAAAAAAATAAACATTGTTCTATGGAACGTTTGGCATAGAATAGGTCAAATCAAGGCAGAGAAACATAACGACGAGCAAAACGATGAATAATTTAGCTAAATGTTGTTGAAATATTTGAAGCGAACTTATTTCCCACGCGTTTTTGCATTAACCGGTTGTGCTAATTCGCTTCAAATCAATGAAGTGTGGATGTTGAAATGTACTTATGTACCTATCGCGCCTACTGATTCAGATTCGACGCGTCATTTGACGCGCATATGTATGCTCGAATGCAAATGTAATTTTCGCTTGTTGCATGTAGTACGTACATCCGTGGATCCGTGGATCCGTGGATCCGTGCGGGTAGAGGTAGAGGTAGTAGGTGGAAGAGAGAGAGAGAGAGAGAGAGAGAGAGAGAGTTCGAAAAACCAAAATCACATTTCAATGATTACATAAGTATGTGTGAACCATTGGAATAATACTAGATAACGTTGGCGAGTTGCAAATTAAATCGCACATGAACAACCACCCGCACGCCAATCAAGCTCAAAGTTTTCCAATAAAACACGTACAATGGGTATTCAATACAGTTAATTTGACTCACATATTTTCAAATGGTTTTCGAACGAAAAACTCATTCACTTGCTGTTAAATTCATCCGAAGGCCGATGACTTTGGAAAAATGACCAGAAAATGATGGCGATGATGGTGGTATCGGGGGAGATTGAATGAGCCGGACATAACTGTTGATTGCTGGACATGAAACCACTTCGATGGAATTTATTAAATAACTTTAGATTTTTTAGATGGTCAGTCAGAGTGTATGTGGTTTTCCCGTTCTGTGATTCGTATGTTTCAATGTTCGTGGGGATGTGGACACATAGTGCTGTGTCTTGCCTTACCTTGCCCTGCCGTGCGCTCTGCCATTGACAATATCGTCGGTAGGACACGGTCTCAGTCACATAACACACTTTATTGCGGTTTGTCATGTGGTTGAGGTCAATTTCCCTCTCAACAGCTTCTATTACGATTTTACAACAATGCTAAACACGCATAAATTTCCAGAATTATCTATCGTCATGAATATATTGGATATGTATATATCGAACCAACAAACATGTTTGGAAAAACTCCTGCCTTTAATTCGATGGTTTTGAATGGATGTGATATAATTGTCTGCTTGTTCATACTGTTCTCTTTGTCACTGTTCCGATTTTATGCCCCGTGTCTTCGAATCGATTGTGTTCGGCACATGGAATTTCGTGGCAATATGCTCAAGAATGTGCTTGACTTGATGTCTTTGTCCCGTCCCGTCGCAAAACCGGCGGTGTTTTGTTTTGACGCGGCTGGTGGGATGAAACAGTAAGAAAACTTTTTGCTACGAACATGCTTTTAATGGAATTGAAAATATTTTATCATAGATAAAAACGAAATTGAGCTATTTCGATAACTTTTCCAAATTACATTCCGATTTCTATCGATTCTAACGCAAATATCAAATATGTCTTCTTTTCTTCTCTTCCGTTGTATCGATATAGGTATCCGCGAGTGGCAAGGCAATTTTGATAACAGGTTGTGAGAGCCCTCTCGCTTGGTGTTTGGCACGTAAACTTGATGAGATCGGATTTACCATTTTTGCTGGTTTCACAAAACGCACGGGCTGCGCTGACGCTGATTTATTGAAAGAAGAATCATCGGGTCGTACGAAAATTCTACAACTTGACGTAACTTCGGAGACGCAGGTAAGAATATAATCAGGCAGCAGCAACAACTTGAGAAAAATCAAATAAAACAAATTCCCATAATTTCACTTCAAGCAATAAAGAATATTGAACAAAGTTTTCTCTCACTCCGATTTAGCTCTCGTACATAATTTACCTTACTCTCTCTCTCTCTTTCTCTCTTTTACTTCTCGTGTTGGTTTTCTCATTGGACTCTCTAGTACTTTATCCATTCAAGTATGGATAATGAGTCGATCGAATTCAATATAACTGTGTTGAACATTTCTAGGCGATTCATTTTTAAAATACCTTTATACAAATACCTTCGAAAAATTGTTCATTTTGCGTGCAATTTTTAACGAACAAGGGCAGAAAACTGTGATTGCCGTGATGATTAAGCAATTATTCAACAAGTTTGCCGAATCCATGAGAATTGCACTAATTTACACCATCCCCCGTCCATTCTTTCACTTTGTTAAAGCTTCTTTATCTAATTTAAGTGTCGACCATAAAATGTGATGAGAGAATGATTTCCAATTTAATTTGGTTTTTATTTTTGTTTTTGTTTTTTTCTCTCGAATTTCTCCCATTTCAGATGCTCGAAGCATCGTTGTATATCACGGAGCATTTGCCAGATGGGACAAGTGGATTGTGGGCCGTTGTGCACTGCGCAACATGGGTTGCTCTTGGTGAATTGGAGTGGATTCCATTTGCTGTTCTCCGAAAATCAATTGACGTTAATCTACTAGGCAAGTGCTTTAAAACGTTGAAATGAATGAGAAAGAAAAGACACGAGTTTTTCATGCAGCCAATTCTGAAGATGATTGATTTTAATTGAGTTTCGTCTCACTTTTTGAACAGGTGCCGCTAGACTGACACAGATCTTTCTGCCACTCGTCCGCCGTACCAACGGTCGTATTGTTTTCGTTTCTTCGGGTAGGATTGAAAAAATTAAAAATTATTATTGGAATCAAAACTTTTCCGAAACAAAGCAAGAGAAGATGAGCCATTTCAAATAAAATAACATTTTGTATTTGTTTTTTATTAAGCTTTGGCCCGTGTACCGGCCCCTGTTCGTGGAGCTCAATGTGCTACTCAAGCTGGAATTGAAGGTTTGGCTACGTGCTTGCGTCAGGTACAACAGTACAATTAAAAAAATCGATTTCGATACGATGGCAAGTTCCGTCACATAATTTTCAATTTTTTTTCTTTCAAGGAATTGCGTCCTCGAGGTGTCGATGTTTCTATTGTTGCTGCCGGCGAATTTGCATCAGGAACGGCATGGCTCTCAGAAGCTACCATGTTGGAACAAGTAAGTTCAACAACTGCAACTGTTTGCAACACGGTTTTCTTTCCATTTAATGAGATCGTAATTTGTTTGTCTTATTTCAAGGCTCGCCAAATGTGGAGTCAATTGACAGCCGAACAAAAGGACAACTACGGCGAGGAATACTTTGAACGTGCTCTTCGCTCTCTTGAAAAATACACTGAAAAAGAAGCCGACTTAGGACCGACCATTAGATGCTTAGTTGACGCTTTGTGCCGCACATGTCCCTTGCCACGCTACACCCCTGTTTCAACCGGCGAAAAATTCCAGTGCTTCGTTGCCGACCACTTGCCACGCTGTTTTTATGATGCCATTTATGGCAAATAAACGATATCTCACCACTAATCGTCCGACAAAAGAAAGAAAAGAGAAGAGTTAGATAGTGAAATGGAAAGAGAGAAGGAGAAAAAAGAAGAATATAAATATGACACGAAAAAGTAGTTTTCTTAAACAACAAAACCAAAAAGTCATTGCATTTTCACATAATTATTCAATTATTGCCGTGTGTGTTTTCAGCCAAAGTTAAATCAAGCGGAGGAATATTTTCTGTGTTTTAGAAGAATTTTTTTTGAATAAATGAATATGATTGGGCGAAATCAAGTAGTGTTTTTTATTATTATTTTTATCAATTGTTGAAATGATTTTATTTGAACGTGACCTATAATAAGTAAACGATGGCGTCAAACTTTGGTACAATCCTTAAATGAAGCCTTAGATTTAAAGCTTAAAAGCAATCTGATCCGACGTACCGTTCACGGTTCCGAGATGTGCAGTTGAATTGGGTGTATATTACGGTGGTTTACCATCGGACACCGATTGAATTCGAGGCTGACACCCAAATCAGCATTAAGTAAGGGGATTGGAAGCTTCCACTTTCAGAACACCGTTGAATTACATATGCAGAACTCAATCCACGTGATTGTTGCAACTTGAACTGAGATAATTTCCACAGGTCATTCCTTGAAAAAGATTTGAATTTTGAGCCGATTTATATCGGCCATAAATTTGCATAAACGAACAACTTAAACTCAATCAAGCTTAAAATATTCATAACGATTCTCATATTTAAATGCGCACGTATTTATTTCCATATAGCATGCAATTGTGAAAAACGTTCTTTAGACTTTGTTCATTGGCGCAGTCTTTGGAAATTTTCACATAGCCAACGAGTTCTCATTCTCAAGTCTATTATATTCATAAATATATGGTGGCGAAAGTACTTACGTGTTCTTTTGATTCATGTATTGATTCAATGGATCCGGTGTGATGCTTATCTATGCAAAACGCTTTGCGTTTGCCGACAAATTTTCAATGGTTCAGTGCACAATGCAATGAAGCAATGAACAAAATCCAAAGCTGGCTGTTAGCTGTATACATATTTCCACTTCCGACTTTTGGTTTCGAAAACTTTTTGCTTCAGTGTTAGCTCCCTGCTTAAGGGCAAACGAAGCAAAATGCGTAAATGTAAATGCGTGCACATAACTACTTCGGAAATTGTTCATAATAATGAGCTAAATATCGAACATTATGTAAAGCCAATCGATTCTGCCTACTTTTATTAGATAGTTTTTTGTTCTGTATTTTCTTTTCGAGCGAAACACGCACCCTCTTGGTGTGATTTACGTTGAAGTTTAAGAAATATGGAATAGTGCCGTTTTGGCGTTTCAAGTGAGTAGGTGCTTTCGGTGGTTCGGTGACTACAGCCAACCAGAGGAAAATGGTAAACATTTCAGACAGAAAAATACAATTCCTGACACAAGACATTTTAAAACTGTAAGCGACAAATGGACAGATAGATTGTCAAATTAAATACTATTATCTATTTCATTTGCAGAGTCTAGTATTGAGTAAGACGGAGAAACGGAAATACATTGAACAGTATTTTCGAAAATGTCTTCGAATCAAAGGAGTTCAAAATGCGATTGTGTTCAACAGTCTTGGCGTTCCAAAGCAGAGTACATTTGAAAAAGCCGAAACAATTCGTGCCATTGGCTTGTTTGACGACCTCATTTTCAAAGTGATACGAGCCATTCAACTGATAAATACCGAAGATCAATTCGTCTCGATTCTCTTACGAACACACAAAGTCGAAATTCTTATTTCAAAGGACTTGGACGATATCTATTTTGTGATTTTTCAAAATGCCAAAGGTACGTACCCACCCGAACATCGATTTTCACTGTGTTATTCAATTTATTTTTCTTCCATAGACACACACAGCCAGTTACGAAAACGGCAAATAGTATCGCAAAACGACCAAGGGACATCGTCAACAAGCAATAGTAGAAAGAATTTTTAACACTACTCTAATTGAATGAAAACAAACGGAATTAATGCAGTTTTCAATGGGTTTTCCTTTATTCAATTTAAGTTCAATATAGGAAAGTTTAAATGAGGAAAAAAAAATGTTGTACGAATTATTTCATGTTCTAGCTATTTGCTGAAAAATAAAGGTGACTTGGTATTGTATCATATTTTCTTTGTAAATGGCACAAATTCAATTCAATCTTTTTTCATACGATGAACCTTAAATTCAATATGCTTTTTTTTAATTGATTAATTTTATATAAAAAAACCTAGAAAAAATGAATTCAAAGAAAACGAGCAAATGTTTCGAGATAAATGTCGAGGTGATACTCAAACAAACAGAAAATAAATGGCCGTTTATTTACCACTAAATCAAATTAATCTGCTTAGACCATACTCGTCTTCATCCGAATTCTGACAAAAGATCCCTAAAGTGTGTGTTTATGTGTTCAGATGTACAATTTAATATAAATGCATTTTGAAATAAAAAAGAAAAAAACCTTAACAGAGATCTATGTTTCACTTCTTTTTTTCCAACCAAATTCATACACGCTCAAAATGATCAAATTGAGATTTATAAATTAGCATTCGATGATATTGTTTACATACCGTTCGATATGCTGGATATAAACATCCTAATGCCAAACCGTAACATATTTTCTATTAAAATCTGCAACGAAATACGTACATCGAAAAGAAGGAAAATAAAAACAAAGAAAAAAAAGGAAATAAAATATTTACTTTTGAAATCGAAATGAGAGAAGAACAGAAAATTGAGTAATAAAATAATTTGAAAACAGATTAGAAAAATATAAAATATATGTTTGCTGAATATGTTAACTACGCTAAAATAAATGTCGTACTGAATCAATGGAGAACGGATGAGAAACTCACGAAAAACATTGTGTGTATGTTTTTTTATTGGTCAGTTTTTATGCCTATAAAATTTGTGTTGAATAACAAACAAGTCAAAATATGTATGGATATAAACTCATAAAGTACCTGACGCGCCTGGCTCTGTATATATCTCACTGCGATGCTAGAGAGGATGAAAGTATTACTGTAACGGAACTGTTTACATATTCAGAGCATACACACAATGGGAAAAACGGAAATGAATGAATAATACAACGACAATAACAAAAAAAAGAAAGAAATTAAGGAGATAACAAAATAAAAGAAAGAGAAAATTCAAGAAATTCAAAAAGAAAAAGACCAACAAAAATTAACAGTGAACACACCGCCGCATCCGCAAATCAGCAGATGAATCGAATCGGTATGGCCACCTACCCGCCGCACAGCGCACAATTGTAAATAAATATGCAAGTTAAACCAAAAAAAAAAACGAAAAATGCTTTATTATTTAAATTTACAGTCTTAAATATACGGTTACGGTGTCGATTTCGAGCCGAGCAAAAACAAACAACCATCAAGATACATTTTATCGAAATATATATGCGTATATATAAATATACCTTGGTTTGACAAAAAGATTGGCGTTTTTCGCTTGGTTTCACATTTTCTACGACAGAGTACAAAAACGCAATTTCTTTTCATTACACTCTAGTCTCGACCTAAATATTAATGGAAACTTCTTATCTGTTTGCATCTAATGGTTTAAGGGTCGCGCTGTATTTCCAATCCACAACCAATTCAATTATAGCAATTATTTATTTGTTTAATTATGTTTGTTACCTTCGGCATAGTACAAAGAGTGATAATTCTTTTGCTGTTGTCTTATTTTATCCTTGAATTGTTCAAATAGAGCAACCAGTTTTGAATTTAGTTGTAGGAGCACACGATAATAGCAATTTGTGGATCTTATAGATTTGCAAAAACAATGTTTCTGTTATGTATGAATTGAAAATTAATGCTTACCGACAGAGACGACAAAATGCGGGGGAGAGTTTTATTTGTTATTGTCCGCTGTCCATCGTATGCACTCGAAATCCTCTCTCTCTCCCTCCCTCTCTCTCTCTTTCTCTGCGATAAGGATAACATCATACGCTTCGTGTACTTCGATCTATCTGTGACTCATAGCCTACGTCGAATTCTCACGTGCATTCGGATGAACTGTTTCATGTGCACGGATGCGAATGTGATTGTGTAGCGGCTGTTCATAACTTTTATACGATTCGATATATATGTTCAACGATAATATTCAATGTTTTTTTTTCTGTTTCTATCATACAAAAATCTTTTGTTTTCATCGTCATTAAAAAAATGTTTAAATATCAATAAAGAAAATGTTATGGCATTTTGCAATCAATTTTCATGTACGAATCATATCAGTATGATTCAATCAGTTTGTTTTTTGTTTGTTTGTTGGTAGTAAAGAAATGGAGAAAAAATTGTAGATAAAATAATATATGTGTGGTTGTGTTTTGTTGTGTGTGTAATATAGATTTAAAGGGAAATTCAGTAAATTGTACCATAATTTTGTTTTGGAGATGAATTTCAAAAATTATAAAACAATATATAAATATGTTTTGCTTCGTTCAGATGAAATGTGAGAAAAAAAATTCAAGCAAAATACACCAAAATTATAGAAATATTTAATGAGTAAATGTAAGTAATGTGTTTGTATGCATTTTTATCACAATCTACCATACCTTTCACTCTGCTAAGAAAATAAAAATAAATAGTAAACATTTTTGTTATTGAAGTGTGTATTTGTTGTATGTGTGGTAAATAAATTGGAGAAAATTTGTTTGGTATCTGAACTGTGGGTAGGGTGTGCAAAGAAGAAAAAAAACAAAACACTTAGAAAACTATGGAATAAGAGGAAATGTATGTTCGATTTGTTTGTTGATTTTTTTTTTGCTTCATATTACCCCTCGACACATATATAAATCGCAATGCGAAAAAATTCAATCATTATTTACTAAGATATATTTTTTTATTAAATATAATTTATGTATTTCAATTCATTTTCATGACGAATGGTAAAATATATTTTGCAGCGAAATTATTTTTTTAAACAAAATGATATCAAAATGTTTGAAAAAAATAACGAAAAAAAAACAATAAAATTAGTTTAATAAAGTTTGTAAGTCAAATTTGTTTTTTTTTTTTCAAAATTGTTCAATAAATCAAGTACCTCTGCTGAGTGTTTTCACCTTTCGTTTCTCTCTTACACACACACTGAACCGGTTTTACACCAACATGTGTATGACTCTTCTTCAAACACAATTTTTTTTCTCTATTTCACGGTTACTTTTGTCTCTGATGCACAATTCAACAGAAATTTCAAAACAAAAATGAAAACAAACAAAAGAATTTAAACTTTTCGCACTTTTTTGATGATAGCCATCTATTTACTTTGTTTTTGCTTTTTTTTTAAACTGACGAAATTATTTTGCCTTGTTAAATCGCATTTGCTGGATCATTTTGATGTGTTGAATAATAATGAGCTAGTGTATTTGATTGAGTAGAAATATGTATGATACCCATTTTTAAACCTTTCTACCGTTGTTTTTTTGTTGTTGAAAAAAAAAACAAATGAAATATTTCAAAACGAAAGGAAAAAAATGATTAACGGCCAATTTATGTTGTTCGGGATAAATTTAATCCGAGGGGTAAAATGGATTTTCGTCAGAAGACCAAATTTTTCGATAAAATTTATATCTATCACATAGGAAATTGATGCTGAACTCCATTCCGGCTATTAATAATGTTAAAAGTATTTCAAAAAAATTTTCACACCAGGATATTTGAAAAAAAAAACTATCCCGAGGGGTAAAAATCCGAGAGGTAACAAAAAATGTATGACCCAACAATACAATATTTGCACCGAAACTTCAATTTTTTGCTTAAATTCTCCGTTTTCTCGTCATAAATTTTGATAATAATGACATTTCAGTTTTCGATTAAAATAATTTTTACATTTTTTTACCCCTTGGATTTTTACCAAGCTCGTGGTAAATTTTATAACGCGGTGATGAAGCGTGATTTTTATTTTAATCAAAAATTGATTCAAAATGTTTTTAATATAAAAAATTTATGATGAAAAAGCAGCGAATTTAAGCAACAAATTGAAGTTTCAGTGCAAATATCGGTATTTTTGGGTCATACATTTTTTGTTACCTCTCGGAATTTCACCCCTCGGGATAATTTTTTTTTTCAAATATCTTGGTGTGAAAAAAATATTTGAAATACTTTTAACATTATTAATAGCCGGAATGAAGTTCAGCATCAATTTCCTATGTGATAGGTATAAATTTTATCGAAAAATTTGGTCTTCTGACGAAAATCCATTTTGCCCCTCGGATTAAATTTATCCCGAACAACATAAATTTTCCGTAAATTGCATTTGTTTAAAATGAACGAATAATTTGACGGGAAATAAAATATAATGGTGAAAATGAGTTGATTAATTTTAATGACAGCAGAAAAATTCGACTAAATTTTTTGCTCTTAATAAACTAACGCTAAACACACGTGTAATATATCTACACATAAAATTCAATAATGATATTTTTTTTGGATAATCCAACGATTCTTTTTTGTTCAGTGTTTCGCATAGAAAAAAGTGTGTGTTTTATTTTATAGAAAGGAAAAAAAGGTTATATAGTAATGAAAAAAAAAAATTCTTATGCCGTGTGCACTGTACGTTAAGTGAATGTTTGCGCAAATTTACTTTGCCAATTGAATTCCATTTTGGTTTTGACATACATTTCATTCTATCAATAGATTTTATATTCTATCATTGAATACGTTAGTTATTTCGCCTCCATGTCTGTCACATTTCTCTCTCTCTCTCTCTCTCTCTCTCTCTTTCTCTCTCTCTCTCTCTTTCTCTCTTACTCTCTCTCCGCTTGTGTTCTCGCATTGATATTCGTTTCTGTTCATAATTTTTTTTTTCAGGTTAGTTTACTTCTTCAAAATATGCTACACATATACGCAAACGATTTTTCGAAATTCGTAGATTTTTTGTTTCTCTTCTTGCGGTCAGATTTCTTGCTCACTAAAAACCGTTTATATTTTATTTGCATATGATTTTTTTTTTGCTTTGATTACACAGATAATATAGATCGGTAAAGTATTTTTTATTGGTATTTCTGCAAAAAGAAAAGTTAACGAGACAAATTCATTTTTTGGTTAAATTAAAAAATATATAGAAATATATAAAAATGTGTAAATGTTAAATGGTTGAGAGTATTTCATAATGCTTAAGTCCAAATAATGTATATATATTAAAAAATGGAAGAGATTAAATCAAAAAACAATTTAACAAAAAGAGTAAAAAAAAAGATTTTTCATATATATTCATATGGATGCTGATAGCGTGAATAAAAGCATATAAATATATGTTGGTTATTTTAAGTGGAATATTTTGTTGTTGTTTGCAAAATAGTTTGAGAGAAAAAATATTTTTGATGTTGTTTTTTTTTTGTTGTAATAAGAAAGAGAAAAGAAAAAAAAAACAAAATGATTGTATGAGTGGGTGCTGTCTGTATGAGTGCACATAAATGAAATGATTTCATAAAAAGCTCAATGACAACATTTTGTTCAATTAAGAAAACAAAACAAAAAAAGAGAGAATGAAACATAAAACTCGTGAGCATCGGGTCTTCGTTCCATAACAAAGTGCTGTCAAAGAGATATAAATGTTTAACGAACTTTTTATGTGTGTAAAATTTGTTTCAAATTTATTTGGATAATCGCAAAAAATATTGTTCAATTGAAATGTTTAAATGTATTTTTTCCAAAAAAAAAAGTTATTGAAATGGTTTAGAAATTGGCTACTTGAATAGAAAAAAAAATTGATTGTTCATACAAACGAAACTAAGAAAGTTTTTGTTTTGTAAATTGTATCTAGAAAATGGAATCTATCTAGTATAAATAAGTGTTGCGGTCGCCGCATATTACTAATTTAATATATGGAATGAAAATTAGATGTAATCGAAATTGTCGTAATTCGAATATACGCTTTTTGTTTAAAAAATTATATCGGTGCGCTTTATCCGTAAATTGTGTATATTTTATTTTGTTTTAAATAAAGAGGGACAAGGGCATTCAAAGTGGCGTAATAAGGGGAGAGAGGAAAAAACCAACATTGTATTTTGTAAATATTTCACGAATAAATAAAGAAAATTGAAATGGAGGAACAAATTTGGCCAAGCAAACAGAAATTTTCAATGATTTTTTGTTGTTGTTGTTGTTTGAATTGAGTAATTTGAGTACTCACCCGAATATTATGCCTCACTATCTCGGTTTGATGACATGCGGCGCTGGAGAGATTGATTGTACTGTTCTACTTCTTGTCGTTGCTTGGTTGAGATTGTGTTTGGTTCGGCGTCTGTTGTTGTCCTGGATAAGCGGCTCCGTATGCGTTGTATGGCTGAGGAGCACCATAATTACCTTGATTCGCAGCTGCCGTTGCCCCAGCATAGTACTGAGCATACTGATTGTAATTTCCGCCCATCGGCTGCTGTGCGCCTGGATAGCTTGGTACGGCACTTGAGGCATTCGTACTCTGTCCTCCTACGTTTGAAGGAGATTGTCCCGATCCACCCTGTTCCGCAAACGCAAGCCAAATATTTTCTTCATAAGATTTATTCCATAACATACAACTACACATAGTTCAATTCGTTCTAGCTAAACAATACCTTAGTCTTTATTTGGTTTTCAATGGCTTCAGCTTCATCCATTTTACCGATGCTTCTGTAATATTCGGCCCATTGCTTACTGTAATCTTGTTGGCCGCTTGCCACTTGAGCCTGTTGCTGTGCAGTAGCCACTGCCATCGATTGAGCATTTCCATTTGCTAAAGCCGATCATACAAATTTCAACCACATTAGTCGATGATTCTACAAACTTGGGGTTTAATTTTTAGTTTACCTGGTGTCATGGCCATTTGCCCGGCGCCTTGTTTCATTTTTAATTGTTGTTCGATCATTTCAGCCTCGCGGTGCAGTCCAATTGATCTGATTTCCATGGGAAAAAATAACAAGAAAATTATCGGTACTTGGATACACATCATCGATAAATAACGGAAAGAATCGATAGGTTTCGAACACTTACTTGTAATATTCGATCCATTGGGCTGAATAGTCTGGTTGGCCCGGTGCGCCAACGGCCATTTGTTGCTGTGATTGGTCCCACATTTGCTGCTGGTAGCCACCCCACTGTTGTTGCTGTTGTTGATTGTACATTGCTGGATTGTTTGCTTGCATTCCATATTGGCCAGAGCTACCACCAGCTGTGCCGCCGCCAATTTGTCGCGTACTTAAAATGTTGATTTCAACGCCGATTTTCTCTGAAATCAATTGGCGAGCGTGTTCGATTTGCTCAGCCGTGCCGCGCATTTTGAACATTTTTTCATTGGGTGGATTGATCGCACTGCGATCCATTTCGCAGAATGCTCCCGACTGTTGATTGATCAATTTAATTGTTTCGCCACCGCGTCCAATAACGATGCCGCATTTGGATGCGGGCACGGCAAACGAGACTTCTTCGCGCATTGGCTGCTGACTGGCATCGGTGCCGTAGCCATAATTGCTGTTTGTCACATTTGAATTCTGATTGTTGCGATTCTGGTTATTCTGGTTGCTTCGCTGTTGGACAGAAAACACATTTCGGACTTATTTCCAATTTCTCGTTAACAAGTTTCTTTTGCCAAACTCACCATAACACTTTCAATAAGATCTTCGATGGTTCGTTTTGCATCTTCGACTTGTTGTTTAGTGCCCGAGATAATGCAGCGACGATCACCTGGTCCATCGCCTTTGCCTTGGATGAATTGCAATTTGCAGCCGGTTTCACCTTGGATTTTCTTGATCATTTCTCCTCCTTTGCCAATGACGACCCCTACGGCCGTCTTTGGCACGAACACCTCAGCCTGCTCGCTGCCCGGTGGTGCTCCATTGCCTGGATTGAAACTTGGGCGGCTGTTACTATTGAAAGCGTCTTTGTCTAATATCAAATCGAACACGAGCTGCTTTGCATGATCCACTTTTGCTGGTTCACCTGAGATCCGCAGTGGTTTTTCCTGAAAAGTCATTCAACAAAACAAACACAATCGAAATTAGATACATCGCAACACTTGGCAATCATCAATGTTAATTCGAATAAAATCGGTTAATTACGAGCTCTTGTCCAGGTCCATCCTGGATTATGACCATTTTTGCGCCAGTTTTCTCTTGGAGCATTTTTATTGTTTCGCCACCTTTGCCAATGACCAAACCGACTTTTGAGCCGGGAACCATAATCTCCTGATAGGGTGGATAGCCATTTGTACCAGCTGGTGGCACCAAAATACAACTGATCGTTTCAACGCCATTGCCCGTATTATGTTCGTTGCATAGTTTGTTGATCAAATCTTTGGCATGATTTAGCGACTCTTTTTGGCCGCTTAGCGTGCATATCCGATCTAACGCGACGACATGACATTGAAATTATGTTAGCCTCATGCTTACAATTTTTGAATATCGGTATAATTCTTGAATGAAGCGTAGTTTGGTATGCAAACTCACCTGATTCACGGGAGAATGAAATTTTACAGTTTGATTGTGCTTGAATGCTTTTCAATTCATCATCGCTGCCACATCGACCGCTGAGGATTGGTGCAATCTTTTCCGGAACTTTAATCTCTTCGTTCATCGTATGTCCAATACTTTGTGCGAGCCGTGCTGCTACTGCAGCCGCCTTTTATTCAATTAAAATATATGATTTGGCCTTGATCTTAATTTGATTGGATTTATTTCTATTTTCATGCTTGCTTTTTTTGTTGGAGGAATGAGAATTTTATTCGTAAACCAAAGTCTTATTTGTTTGGTTTCGGCCCAAATAAATTCATTCGTAATTTATTGGCAAAATAATAAAGCATATGTATTGTTGTCGCACTTACTTGTTGGACAGCCTGCATAGCTGGCATCGAGTCTGGCGACTGGTATCCGGAGTTGCTGTTCATTTTTTTGCATTCCGGTTCTGAAGTCGAATAAAATGATGCATCAGTGTTCATGTTCACACTTTCTTCGAGTTATTTCGACAATCAAATTACCTGATCCATCTGAGTCGATCGAACGTTTCGTACCGATTCCGCCACCGCCGCCGCCACCACATCCTCCACCCATATTGCTGTTGTTGTTTCCACCAGCGCCCGGGTGGATTTTGGCCGCAATCTATTTGACGTGCAACGGAAATCGATTAAATCACAAAATAGAAAAAAAACACACACACAAAATCGATTGGACAAAGACGCATTTGCAAACGAATGCAATTAATTACATTTATAACTAATGAATGTGAACAATGTCAAGGCGTACCTGCTTAGCCCTTTGTAGCGCTGCAGCAAAATTCTGTGATTGTTGTTGAAGGGATGAAAAATCGCCCATTTTTATGCCTTTAAATGGTTGTTGTTTTGCACGATAGTTGCCAAGTCAAGACGTAAGTTAATGTTCGCACTACGATTTTAAATCGAATTTATTGAATGATATGCAAATTGAAAGTTGAAAACGAGTTCACTGACACCTATCCGTTAGGATATTTCTCACACACGAAAAAATGCGTTCACTTATTTCTTTTTGGAATGAATGAAATACACACGCCACTTTAAGAAGGCCTAGTGTGGTTTTGATTTGTTTCAATTACTCTCGAATGTTTCAACCTAATAATGCTGACACACGGCTTTTACAATTTTTTTTTCGCTACTGTTTTTTCTTCTTCTTCTCTCCGTTGGCTGTACAGTGACTTTGCTCGAGTTTTTAGAAAAAGAAGAAGAACCACTAACCAAGTACAAGTACAATATGGCCGACAGATTAGTTTTTTTTTGCTTCGTCTAAATTACTTCTCGGTATGCGTACGTATGCGTCAGTATTCGCTACAGACGATTTGCAGTGAAAAGCATTCGTTCTTCCTATGTTGATCGACAAAAGCAGAGAAAAAAATGCCAAGTTGGTTACCGTGTGTGCGAGTGTGTGTATGTAAGAGAGAGGAGAGAGAGAGAGAGAGAGAGCGTGAATCGGCGGCAACACTTCGGCATGCACCACACACATACCAGCGCATCGAAAACACATACATACAAAGGCAAAACGCGAACGAGATAAAAAGAAAAATGGCGCGTGACACTAGCAACACTTCTTACATACATGATTGACATCAGTAATGGGAACGATGCTTAAATTGTGAAATTGATATTCTTTGTATCTTGGTTTATTTCAAACACTTCAAATTCATCTCGAAAATGTTTCAATAAAAGGAGCCATAAAAATTGCAATCTGTTTTAATTTTGGAAAACTAATTTTCTTCTGAAGAAAACCAAATTAATTTTCATATGGATCCATTTTGGTCGATTTCTAGGCACAGAATGCGATGCAATGCGGTGACTGTAATAATGTCATAGCCCTAATTTTTCGCTTGAGAATCTGATTGTTTTGCCTCATTACCATAGAAAAAAATAATAAAACGCTTGACGTCCAGCAGTTGTGCATTAGACGCGCGTTGTTGAAAGAGAGCGAAAGAGAGCGAGACAGAGAGCCACACTCTGTCGGCAGGCAATCGTCGTGTATGTACGCGGCACCATTGGAGTGAGCATTTATGTGTGCATCATCACCATCATCATCATCATCATCAAGTGTTGTGTATCGCACGCGTTGTATGTCGATGTGTAAGATTTTTTGGTTGGTTTTAAAGTCGGCGGCGAACCAAAGTAAGCGCGTTGACAAGCGACATACACATAACACAAATAGAGAGAGAGTCGCAAATTGAAAATAAATACAAGACGAGGAGAGCAAGCAGGCAAACGACGAAAACTCAAGAAGAGAGAAGAAAAAAAAAACACACACAACATTTTCGTTGTAAATTGATTGTTGTTTTTTTTCTATTATTCCAACGATTACATTTTATCGGTTTGAAAAAATTCCGAAGAGGATCGTTTCGAACCCATAGTTTTCGTGAATATTCAGTGTGTGATTTAGAAATTGAATAGTCCAGTAGGGAAAAATAACAGAGTGTGTGTGTGCATATAAAAGTCAAAACAGACAATTGCGTACGATACTTTGAAAAGAAATAAAATATGTCGGAAAATGCAAAGAATTCAGACGAACCAGTGGTACGTATCATCATGGATTATTATAATTATTTTTTTTGCCAAATAATTGGAAATTTTTTAGAAATTTCGAAGAAAAAATATAAAAATAGTCATGTTGCTGACAGAATAAAAAGCTATCGACGCGAAAATATGAACGTTCATTTTAATACGCCGAATAAGCGATACTAATGTAGGGAAAAAAACATATCTCTCGGCATGTCCTTTTTGCGGCGCAGATTTTTTTTTTGTATACGTGTACTATTCAGTTCGAAATTCTTCGCGCGAATGCAATCTTCCCGCTGTTTCGACTCCTGTTTGGTTGTGTACAGCGACAACATGGACGAAAAATCATTCGCGTTTACTCGGTGACATTGTTAATTCTTACGTTCATTGTGAACTTTTTTCTTCGTTTGAGGATCATTTTAAGCCCCAAAAGAACGCATTCACCGAATTTCAATATCAAAAACAAAAATTTTGACGCGGCTTTTTTACTTGTCTCTTCTACTCTCATTTTGCTCATCTTCACGACAAGCATACGTATTTGTTTCGGTAAAAATAATGTAACTATATGCGTAATATCTGACAACAATATGGCGTTTATTTCTATGTTTATGCGATTCAATAAATATAGCGAAGAAGGGAACAAGTTGGGAAAAAGAAGAAGTGTACGGTTTGAACATTCACATACACATCGACAGGGCCATTTGCACACGCATTTGCGATATATATATATATACATAGACAATAATAACAAGAATATTATTGCTTTTGCTTGAACCGATAAATTTTCGATGTGTTCGGTTTAGCATTTGTGTGAAGCAGCTCCCAAAGCCAATTCAATGAAAATGCCGACCGAATGTTTGTCACGATTTTTTTTGTTTGCACTATAATTTCATGACGTTTTAATAGTGTTTCAATTTTTTTACTGACTCTGAACGAATCGTTTGCACCAATTGCATAGCGATTGACAAATTCACAAATAATCGCCGCTTCGAGGGAAATCGAGAGAGAAAAAAACGATTTTATTTTTTTTATTCACATTAAATTTCGTAAACAATTGAATAAAAAAAATGGTATTGCGTGCGAATATAGTTAATTTCATGTTAATTTTCTTTGCTATTGTTATTTTTATTGTGTGCGTTTTTAGCCGATGTAATTTATGCAATTTTATGTGTTTGTGCCGTAGGTGGACGATAAGAAGGCCGATGCCACTGAAAATGATAAGACCAATGTAAGCGGCGTTGACAATAATTCGGTCAACAATAAAACCGAAAAAGCAGGTTCGTGCCGTTGACCATTTCACATCCTATTTCGATGTCATTTTCCATTTCCATTTTTTTTTAAATGTATATGATAATTGTGTAGGGAATACAAAAGCAACAACAAATTCATCCAAGTCAAATGACGATACAGATAAGAATGCAAAAAAATCCAACGACGATGACTCGGCGGAGGCGGGAAAAGGCACCGCTCTGGGCGAAATACCGAAGATTGAGAAATACATTACCAATACACGAATAGATGGTTTGCAAACTCTATACCAGGTGTGTATCATTCCCAAAAAAATACTGATCAAACGCCGGATCCGATGTAATAATATGAACATTTCTTTCACTCACGTAGATTTGCTTCCAATCGGTTGGCAAAACAAATGTGCTGAAGAAGAATCTGCGTTCATTCGACGGTTTCGATTTTGAAGTCGGTTCCAGTGACTTCAAAAAGCGGTTGGAATTGACACAAAAGATTGAATTGGCCAAATTAAAAGCAGTATGTGAGGGCTTACAGCTGGACAAAAAGGGAGCAAAGGATGCAATTTGTCAAAGGATATGCGAATTTCTTGCTGCACCACACAAAATTGACGCACCTACTGACGATGAAGAAGATGAAGACGACGAAGAAGAGGAAGTTGAAGAAGGTGATCAAATATTTTTTGTTTTTGGATTTCCTTTTTCTTTTAAACAAATAAATTCGACCAATTGTTCTCTGGACCAATGCTTATTGACATCACATTGAATTTAACAAAACAGAGGAAGAAGATGAAGAGCCAGAAAAACCAAGATCAAAAGGTCGCGGAAATGCACGAAACACTGTGTCCAAGACCGGCAGACCACGTCGATCAACAGCAGGACGTGGCAAAGGTTAGTTACAAACCACTTTTTGCATCTTTTGCTTTTGTATTGAACGATTCTAATATTGCTTTTTTCTACAGCCGATACCTCGGCCTATGTTGAGTACTCCAGCAGCTCCGATGAAGAGGAAGCAACTGTAAATCGTGGCAAGCCAGCAAAGCGCCGCAGAGATGAATCAGACAGCGGATCAGATGTTAGTTGATAAATTTGTTCATTTTCTACCGCGAAAACGAATAAATTATTTTCCATTTCGCTTCAGTACAATCCATCGGGATCAGGTGATTCAGATGCAGCAAGAAAGGGTTCAAGATTTTCCGCACGTGGCCGACCCCCGGCAGGAAGCCGACGCAGTGCACGTCGTCGCCGATCCACTTCGGAGGAAGAAGAATCGTCACCGACATCCGATGATGATTTCAGCGATGAACCGAAGAAAAAGCCGAAAACACCAACACGCTCCGGCCGAGGTGCACCTCCGCGTCGAGGTCGCAAAGCAAAAGAAACGGAATCCGAAGTGAGCGAAGAGGAAGAAGAAGATGTGTCTGAGCCCGAAAGCGACAAAAGCGAGGTGAGATTTGATATCGATATTACATTCAATAAAATAAAAATATGCCCACAATTATTCGGTTGCTTTTGGACTGCTGTTGGATTTGAATAAAAAATCAATTGTATGTTTGGATTGTGCAATAGGAGTCGCCAAAACGAAAGGCACCCACAAAGAATAATGCTAACAACAAAAGCACACCGCAACGTTCAAAACGAGCCGCGGCCGCTGCAAAGCCACTAAAGGAAGAGAGTAGTGGAGAGAATGAATCTGAAGACGACGAGCCATTGTCGAAAAAGGCCAAGCCATCACCATCACCACCAACGGTAAATCTTTTTGAAAATGTTTTTATCCCCATTGACACGCCGGCATTAATCGTATTGCTTCTATTTTTCGCAAATTAGGATGATGAAATCAAGAAAATCGTCAAAGAAATTCTGGATAAAGCGAATTTAGAGGAGATCACAATGAAAACCGTGTGCCGAAATGTGTATTCAAAATACCCAGATTTTGATTTGTCGCACAAAAAAGAATTCATCAAGACGACGGTTAAATCGGTGAGTGTCGCGTATTTATTATGATTTGAAAAATGCGACAAATAGAAAAATAGAGATCAACAGAGTGTAATTTCTATTCTCTCCTCTCTCTCTCTCTCCCGAACAGTTGATTTCAACATAAAAAGCCATCGTCATCGAAACCGATTGTGAGCTAAAGCAAATTTATTCGGCTTAGACATAAAAGTGGAAGAGGCCCAAAAGAAGATTCAACATCAAGAACAAGAACTATAACACGCAAACACTAAAGAAAACACCATCACCACATACACGCAAAAACACACATTGAAAGAAGAAGAAGAAGAAGAAGAAGAAGAAAAAGAAAACACACAGACACATTGACAACTATACACACATGTAATTGATCAAGAACTCTCGATAAATCGCAGCATATCCAACAATGTTAATTCCTTAATTGCAAAATGCCTTTCAAATTGATTTGCATGTGTTCTTTTTTTGTCAAATATTTTCATTTGAAATTTTATTCTTTTGGAGAATTTAATTATTTACACACAAGTCTCAGCACACACAAATAAGATACCATGTGTGTATTCCTTTTCATTTTCTTTATAATAATATTATTATTGTATATTAATGACGCGTAAACTTACAATTTTTTCTCCGTTTTCTTTTGCTAGTTTTAAAAGAAATTTAATCATTTTTCACATCTCTGCATTGAAAATAAAAAATTAAATGATATATGACAAATTGTTGGAAATAAAAAGCACTAAATGAGTGGTTTGGAGCGAAAATGTTATAATAAAAGTTGAGAGAAAAAATGTCAAATGAAAAGAGATAGCTATATAGTTCACTATAGTTTACTATACAGTTTACTATATGGCTATCCCTTTTCCGCTCATTCATCATCGACATTTTTCCGCTCAACTTTTCTGTATTACATTTTCGCTCCAAACCACTCAAATTATATGGTGAATGAGTGTATTTTGCCCCATAAAGAAGAGCGAGAGAATCAATAATTAAAAGAAATACAATGAAGAGAACAAAAACAAATTACACCACACAAAAAATGTATTTTATTGTTCATTTTCTTTGACTAAAAATGCAAAAATTCACATGAAAAATAAATGAAATGATTTAAAAAAAATTCAAAAGTTACAAAAAAAATAATGAAATTGTCTATGAAGAAATCAAATGTTCAATATTATTCAAATAAAAACCGATGAAATTCAAATAAAACATTTAGTGTTGTCATTGTAGGAAATTTTTCTTTTATTTAACTAAGGGATTGCATTGATGCACCTTTTTTTTTTAATTTGGCATTAACTTAAGCTGTGGATTAGCAATATCAAAGAAACGCGACACACATAAAATAATTTCTTTTTGTCTATTTTGCTAGCAATACAGCGATAAATATTTATGCTATGATTCAATTATTAGTCTAAAATTAGGATTTTCATCAATTCCACGATATGAATGCAATGGGCTGTGTCCGCTTGTATATAATGAGTGGAAAATGGAATGGTTATCACCATTATTGCAAAACTTGTTGAGCATTTACATGGTAATGCTGGAATAAGGAACTTCCTTTGGTGCCTTCTCATTAGCAATCAACCAAACCGAACCACTTTTAGCGTCTCGGATGATCGAGATTAAACCCTTGGCAACATGTTCACACCTGAAAATAAGTGCAGACGAAACATAGGGAAAAATGAACACGAGCTAAATACGAAATGTTAAACGGGATACGTCATACTTTTGCGGGTGAACACCTTTCATGTCCAATTGCCAAGCCTTTTCATGGCTTGGTGATTTGAATCGATTCCCAAAAGCGGAAGACGATGCGTCATGATGTAATACGCCAGGGCATAGTACAATCACTCTCACACCGGTGATATTGTAGTGATATGCATCCTATAATATATATCCAATGGGAAAATTAATCGCATTGAAACTTGTGAATCCAAAATATGTGCGCACACCGCACACACACACAAACATTCAGACAGGTGTATCGAATTACTAACCCCACAGGATTTGGAGAGTGCTAAAATCGCGTGCTTACTTGCACAATAAATGGGTGTCGAAATTTGTGGACGAAAGCTTTGTGCAGATCCAATGTTTATGACAACGCCACCATGGCCCTCCTTATCTTTGCCTAGGTATTGTAGAGCAAGCAACATTCCACGAATGGTGCCGTTCTGGAATGGTTCAACGAATGAAATGTTTGTATTGTATGTTGCATTTATGAATTATTGCATTTAATGAAATACCAAATTCACATCTACTTCGAGCTCCCAAAATTTATCATTCATTATTTCAGCATTGTTCACCACGATGTCCAATCGGTCGAATTCGGTAATTGTTGTTTGAAATGCCTCTTCGAACTGAACATAATCTGTGACATCACAATGGCAGAACATCACCCGTTCTTTGCCAAACTTTTGGCCGAGCACATCGCACGCGTTTTCACCTGCATCCGAATCTAAATCGCAAATTGAAACCTGCCGGGAAAAAATATGGTCATAAATCAAACATTTAAAAGTACCACAATCCATTCCATTCTTACTTTTGCACCGTAACTCAAAAGCATCTCACAAAAAGCACGGCCAAGGCCACAAGCCCCACCTGTTACGAGTGCTACCTTATTGCTGATTTCCATAGTTTTCTCCTGCGCCCGTTTTCTGTTCCTCTAAAATTCAATATTACAAATGTGAAAATTCCGTTTACTACTATGAAATACACCGGGAGATGCACACGTAAAATCATCAACTGATAATGACACTACAGAAAATCAATAAGCAACCCAGCGGCACAACAAAATCCGGATTGCGTACGTTCGAGTGCAATGAACAAGTAACAACGTAGCACCGAATTATCGAATGTCTTGTCTCAACATGTGAGCCAATAGACATTCTTGCACCGCACATCCGCAAAACGATTGGGGGATGGAATTTATTACACAGTCTACGCTACATTTGATAGTTCTACAGTTCGAAACATTTTGCCGCCATATCGATTGAGTATAGGCTTAGCGGTTGAAATACTTTTTCAATAAACTGAATTAAAGACAAAAGGAATTTTCACTTATTCTTCTAAAATCAAATTATAGAATAGTTTTGGAAAAAAAAAACTAAATTCACTAAGAAATCAGTGAATTTTCTTTCTCTTTCGTATGAATAATAAATAAATCAATTTTAAATCACTTACTAGTATTATGAAGACTCTGACGCCGTGCTTGATTTGCTCAGTACCGATGAAACGAGGAAAATGTAATGGGAAACGGATAGTATGCAGTCGAATGAACTTCCCTTTTCACTGGCAATTCAACACTTGCAAATATTACTCGACAAATAAATAGACGAATAGTTGAAATTTCACCGAAGGGATGGAGAGAGAGAGAGAGAGAGTATGTGTGTGTGTGTATGAGCACAAAATGTTTGGGTTGCGTGAGTTGAATGTGCGCGGAAAATGTGTTGTATCTCACACAAGCATATAGTACGTCACCGCGCCCAATGATTCCACTTACAGCAGACAATGAAGGAACAATTGTCCGAACGAAGTAGACCGAATGCAACTGTAAATCAATGTGTAAATCATTTTCGTTGGAGTGCCAACCATTGGGTTAAATAAATTTACGTAGTAGACAGATTTACACGGATGGTGTAATTAAAATGGGTTTCAATTTGTTTCGAGCTAAAATCAAACACATTTGTTTTGTCTGAAAACATAGAATATCCAACCGTTCAATCATGATACTAAACACAATATTTACTATCTGATTCCCATACAGAACGCTGTTTTCGGCGATGAATGTTTATTCTTTGTTCAATCTTATCCAACAATTTGTTTACTGTGTGACATTTTGTTTGGAAACTGTGTTTACTAATAAACAATGGCTCATGCTGAGTCGCATTTCATAATTTGGATTCTTCATTTGGTGTAGAGTTTGTTTCAATTACGGAATTCTTCTTTTTATTTCATAAAGAAATTAAACGTCGCTTCAAAGTCATTTCCATGGAATTAAAAAACAAATCAAATGTGTATGTTGCTTCAACTAAAATAAATACACTTTTAACGAGTATGATTAATTATTATTGTAGTCATTCTAAAATCGAACTGCCATAATGAGTTTTTGGGGAACTTTTAAACAATTTTTCGTGTGAATTCGTTTTCGAGATCATTTACAGACCAGCATAGTTTAAACATTTGAAAACTTGATTCAATATCCGATTGTCTGATTTAATAATCTGGAATTTGTATTTTTGATAATACTACATATATCGATATTTTGTCATTCATACAGATATATTGATTAGAATTGTGTATCATTCAATTGTCCAATATGCGTGTCGATTCAATAAAGGCCGCTTTATGAAATGCAAAACGGGTTATTTCATTTTGAAAAAAAAAATTATGGTAACAATTGTGACGTGACAAATTGTTTCTTAAATCGTGGCGAGTCTTAAAGTTCGCGCTCAAATACAAAAGGCTCCTGGGGCGAAGTCTGCTTTATCGACTATTCACCACCGGTGGTAACACCAAATCAAGAACCAATATCATCCAATGCGATTCAGCGTGAGCCATTGAGTTGTCAAAGTTTGCATTTTGTCTACAAAGGTTGTGTCGATTTTGTTTTCTGGTTGCACAATTTATTGGATTGGAAATAAACACGAGCAAAAATTATTTCGCCAAAAAACAATCAAAGTAAGTAATTGAAAACTACGTATGAATTTATAGAATGGCATTCGTGCCGGGGTGTCGTGTGAACGAGACATTGAAATGATTCTTCTTTTTTCTGCAATCGGACAATTGCTCGTTTACCGACGCACAACGTGAGTGTTTGCATCAGGTTCTGGCTGTCGATGTTATGCACGCGAAAACAAAACATTTCAACACATGCAAAAAATAAGCGACATTGTGTCGGTGTTTTTTTTTTATTTTAGCTTACTTCATTTTACCGCCGGTCGCCATTTACAAAAGAGCATTTTAACAAGCAAACTAAGCAGAGACACTTCGCTCGTGCGACAAACACAGTATTTTTGAGGTGATACGAATTTTTCAATAGGAACGTGCATAAAATTAAAGTAAGTAACCAAAATCGATGGAATTGTCATTAAAATGCGAATTCAGAATGAAATGAAAGAAAAAATCGCAAATTTTTGTTCATTTTATTTCTTTCTGTCTTTTTTCCTTCCAATCAACTCGACCAATGAAAAAAAAATCAAAAGTGATACATTTGGAAACACGAAACAAATTCTCACGCGACCGAGAACCAAGCATTAGACAACAATCTTACGATGGATAAACCGGAATGGGAGACGAGTAAAATTCTATCAAAAATACTGAATCGTCGGGAACTGGATAAAGTTGCCCCAGACACCGTGAAAAAAATCGAGAAATTTTTCGAAGAACGTTTCGATGAATATCTCACAACACAAGCACTGTACGAAACATTACAGCGAACACACTGTAAGTAACCGTATTTTTTTTCTGCCACACATACTATGCGATACATTTAGAGAAGAACCAATGTCATTTTTGTTGTGGCTTCAAAGGAGAATGAAAAAAAAAACGAAAAACAAAATCATGCATATAAGCAACCATCGATAATTTTTCGACTGATGATTTTCCTATGGACAAACTGCGATCGCAATGAAAACCGTTTCACGAACTGTGTATAGGTTGTGGAATGACGTTTGCGTTGTGAAATCTCATGGCTGTTTTTTATTCTGTCAAATTGACATATAACCCAATACAGCTGAAATGTGCATTTACAGCGAATTTTCATTGTAATTTTTTTTTTCTTCTCTCGTGTCCAGCCCAAAAGACCGTTGAATATGAAAAACTGATCCTAGAATTGACCACAAAAAATGAAGACAACGAAGTCAAATTGGACAAGTCACAACAGAATGTGCTTGAGCTGCGCAAACAATTGGATGATGTACGGGCTGAAGTGGCGCGTTTCCAAAAATCCGTCACCAAATTGGAAGCGGAAAATATCGAGTGCAAGCGGCAACGTGACAATTTGATCAACGAACGTGATGCGCTGCAAAGTAATTTGGAAAGTCGTACGGCTGAAATTGAGCGGTTGAAGGGTGATGTGCGTGAATTGGAGAAACAATTGAAAGCCGCCATCAATGCAAAATACGATGCAATTGGAAAATATGATGAAATCCAATCGAAAGAGGCCAGTCTCGAGTACAAAGAGCGTCGCATGGAACAAGACAAAAACATCTTGCAATCGCAGCTAGCTAGTTTGACCGAAACGTACCAGAGCAATTTAGAAGAATTGATGGCAATTCGCCGCGAAAAACAATTCACACGCTTGGATCTCGAGGCGAAGTTGAATGAGCGCGTTGAAGAATTGAATATTGCCAACAGTTCGATTGCACATTTGCAAGAGTCAAATCAGACGCTACAGAATCGACTTGAAGAATTGTCGGCCAAACGCAAGGACGAGGCAGACGAATCCATGAAAATGATCGATTGCTACAAAAATGAGCTGCTGGCGAAGAGCAAATTGGCGGACATTTACAAGAACGATAATGAAGACACCAAAAAGCATTTGACCGAATTGACAAATGCCGTTGCCGATTTGAAGAAAATGCTGTCCGATTCCGTCGAAGAATATGGTGACCTCGAGACGAAATACAAAGAGGATGCATTGCAGCACAGCGAAGAGCTCAAGGAAAAAGACAGTATTATTGATGGTATGCGCGTCGAACTCAAGAATGCCAATGATTTACTGAAGACGGCACAAGAAGAAAACCTTGAGCATGTCATCGAACGTGTTGCACCGTCGGCTGCCGCCACCGCTAAGATTCTCAAGTCAAATATGACGCTCACCGAAATCTATTCCGAATATGTCAAATCCACCGAGGGTTTGCGCTCAGAGCAACGTGAAAATGCCAAATTGAAAATTCAGATGAAGGAGATTTTGCAAGAGATCGAAGAACGGGCACCGGCCATCAACAAACAACAAATCGAAAATGACAAATTGGTCGAAGCAAATGCACAAATTCGCGAACAACTGGACAATATGATCACCGAACGTGTGGTTGAACGTGAAAAGTTGCAAGAGGCCACATCGAAGTATGCCTATCTGGAGCGTGAGAATAAGCGATTGAAGACGTGCCAATCCGATCTCTCACGACAGGTTTGCTTCTTGCTGAAAGAGGTTGAACAGCTTCGTGGTGGCATTGTGTCCGACGCACCCGATCAATCCGTTTGCTCGGATATGTCGGCCAGTGAAGTTATCACCAAGAAACTGGTTACATTCAGCAACATGGACGAGCTGCAGGAAAATAACCAGAAATTATTGCTGTTGGTACGTGATTTGAGCACAAAATTGGAGGAGATTGAAGAGACACAAAGTAATTTCGATCAGTCAACGTATGAATCGAAGATTGCCGAATACACAAAACGGTTGGAGCACATGGAATTGCAGCAACGGCACCAGGCACAAATGATTCAACAGTACATTCAGCAACGAGATCGCTATAAGCTCTTGTACTTCGAAATAATGAAGGATGTTGGTAAGCCAATTCTGAACATCAGCATGGATGGTTCGATGGTTGAAAATATGGAAACGGTCGATGAAGAAACACCATTAGCATCGACAAGCAGTGCATCATCTGCCAGTGGTGCACAGGCACAATCATCAAATGTGGACAAAAAGGTAGTTTTTCCTCCTTCTTGGGAATACGCATTCCCTAATTACTTTGTTATTTCGGCAATCTAATCGTTTCGCCAATTTTTTCTTACAGGTGCTGGAACTTCAAGAGAAACTTAAAGAATCTTCAAAACAGCTTCAAACCCTCAAGGAAGAGCACGATGAGTATCGCAAAGAAAAGATGGCCAACGATAAAATCATGAACGATCAGTTCAATTCGATGCGTAGCGAGCTTCGTGAGCTGACAACAACCAATTGCAAACTGAAGAACAACTTTGAATTCAAACTCGAGAAGATCAAGAGCCTCGAAAACGATCTGTCCGATTTCAAGAAGCAAATTTCGGCCCTCGAAGAGCGTAACAAAATTTATGACACCACAATCACAAAGCAGGAACAAACGATTGCCTATTTGCGTGAAGAGTTGTTCAACACGCAGAAACAATTGTCCAATGCTGAGGTGAGTAACAAAAATCTCCGACAACAATGTGAAATATTGCGTGATACCGAAAGCCGTCTACAATCTGAACGTGAAGCACTGTACAGTGAGCGTCAGAAGCAAAATGTTGTTTTAAATAATTTGGAATTGTTGAAGTGTCAACTTGAGCGTTCCGAAAACGATGGTCGTGCTCGAGCTGAACAACGTTTGGATGAAACGGTGCGCGAATGTTCGGCATTGCGTCGTCATTTGCAAGAAGAAAAAGATCACTTCCGCGAATTGAGTACGGATTTGGAACGAAAAACGAAATCAGCCCTCGAAAAGGCGGCCGAAGAAAAGGCTGAAGTTGAGCGATTGCAAGGTGTATTGAAGGACTTACGCGATCAACTCGCTCAGAAGACCGATCAAACGGAAACATTGAGCAAGAAATTGCAAGAAGCTCTCACTCCAAATGTTAAAGACAATCCAGTGGCCAAGGCGAACAAGCGCGCCAAGGAGTTGCAAGTGAAATTGGATTTGGCCAATGTCGAGATTGAGCACTTGAGGAAGGAGGTGGAATCCTGTCACGAAACGATCGAACAATATAGTAAAATTTCCAAAGAAAGTGAAATACAGCTCAAGGATATCAGCGATCGATACAATGAATATCGTGCCAAAACCGAAAAGGAGTTGCAAGAGGCCAAAGTACGTGAGACCGAACTGTTGTCACGTGTTGAAGACCTAGAAACTGAAATTAAATTGCAAATCACTGATGCTCAGCTCACGAACACCGACAGTAGCGAACAATTGCAGAAGACGCAACAAGAGCTCAAAGAAGCATACGAAAAGATCAGCAAGAGTAACATTGCTTTGCGCGATCTCCGTGAACAGATCAACGTTTTGACGGCCGAATTGAAGAACACCAGCGACAAGTATACACAAGCGATTTCATTGCACACATCCGATTTGCAAGCATACACCGATTGCAAAGAGAAATTGAGCAATGTCGAAGGTCAAATCAGTAAATTGACAGCTGAACGTGATGAAGCGATGTCGGTCCTCAAGGAATTACAAAGTGGTAACGAAGCCAATCGCATTCATCTCGAAAAAGAGAAACAGGAATTGGAAAAACGTTTGGAGGATTTGAATTCACAGAATGCAGCCCTGCACGATCAATTGCAATTGCTCAGTTCCACAATAGCGGCCGCTCAATCGGCAAATGAATCCAACGCAGAAGATGTCAGCATGAATGAATCACAGAATGATTCGATCATCAATCGCTCCATCACTGACAACGATGGCCGTGACAAATTGATGTCAATCATCAAATATTTGCGTGCCGAAAAGGATGTCGCCTTGGCCAATGTCGATGTATTCCGCAATGAAAACATTCGACTCTCTGCTGAAATGAAGATTTTGAACGGTAAGTTACTGTATATTTTGTACAGTTTTTCAAGCCCATTTTATTCATTTTTAAAATTCTATGGTTTTTTAAATCATCTTTTAGAAAAAGTTAGGGAATTCGTTGATGCTAAGACTAAAGATGTATCCGCAAAAGAAGAGAATCCACTCACCATGGCAAAATATACGGAGGTATTGCGTAAATTGGAAACATTCACCGCAATGCAAGACAGCAATCGAATGCTGCGTGATGAACGTGATTCGCTGTTGAATCGCATCAAAGAGTTGACAGAACGCAATGATAAAGTTGAAAATGAGGTGTTCCCGCTGCAAGAGAAAAACAGGGAGCTCAACACCAAGACCGAGGAGCTGACCGGCGAAAACTCGAAATTGCGCCACGAAGTGCTGCAATGGCGCCAACGGGCCAACGCTTTGGTTGAACGTTCCAATAAAAATCCCGAAGAATTCAAGCGTATGCAGAATGAGCGTGAACATTTGGCAAAGATGCTAACCACCGAAAAAGAAAAGATTGACAAATACGAGGCAGAGCTTGCATCCATCAAACAGGAAAAGAACCGTATCGAAGTCGAGTTGGCAACACTGCAAAAGAACAATCAAAACATAACCGATGAAAAGAAGAAAATGACCGAGGATATTCTGACGGTAAAACAGAGCAACGCTCGCATGTCAAATGAAATCATTGAGATTAAGAATAAATTACTGCTACGCGACGATGAAGTGAAGAAGATGGTAGATGAGTTGACCAGCAAAGAGGCTCTGCTCACCGATACGAAGAACAAGGAAATCCAAATTCGTAAGATTGCCAAGAGCTACAAAGAGAAATTCCTTGAATTGCAAGCGAAATATGATGCTCTTGCTGCTGATAAAGCCTCCAAACCGCTCGAACAACAAGCAGCCGAGCTCTGTGACACGAATGCATCGCAAACGGATAAGACGCTTAACGATACCATCAAAGAGCTGGGCACATCGATCACCGAAAAACAAGAACAAAATGATTTACTTCGAAGCGAAAATGAATCGCTGGCCAAACAATTAAGCGAATCGGAGGCAAAACTTGCAAATGCCCTCCGTGAATTAAATGGCACGATTCAAACATTGAACGAAGAGAAGAAACACATCTCACGTGAATTGACGGCAACAAAGACACAATTGGTCAATTCGGAACAGGTTCGCACCGAAAATGATAGTGTTAAATCGCAAAATGAGAATCGAATCAAAGATTTGGCCGATCAGGACAAAGAAAATAAGGAGACGATTGCTCGCCTAACACGCGAAAACGAGGCGTTACAATCGCGTTTGAATCAACTGCACCGTCAATTGGGTAATCAACAGGGTACCAAGCCAACGACCAGCAGTGGTGCGATTGAAAAGAGCCCATCGGATGCATCACGTACAGCTAACGTCAAGCCAATGGCAGGTAAGTTATTCAGCGATATTTGATTTTTGTTCTGTTTAAGTGAACGAGTGAAAATCAATTCAATTGAATTTGTTAGCAGGCATAGCAGGACCGAGCAACCAGTCGGCAACGGTAACACCTCGACGAGGTGGTGATACGCCTTTGGCAAGCATTCGACCGATGTCTGTTCAAAATAGTCGTACGGCTGCCGTTTTGCCCACAAGTCAAACAGCAAATGTTGCTTCGATTCACGGCAGTTCGTCGGCTTCATCAGGCAGTGCTGTCACAGCATTGGTTCCGCCACAACAGGTTCACAGTGCCAGCGGTGGAATGACCGGTGAGGTAATGTCAACTACAAGCTCACACACAGATTATATGCCCGCCACCAGTTCAGCAGCTTCAATTGTTGTCGCTGCCGTTTCACCAATGGGTAAGTTTGAAATTACAAGCACGACATGAATATAAAAATTAGAAGAAAAAAAACTCACAAAACATTTCCAATTGCCTTGGTTTAGGTGCCAACATAGATAAATCCGATCCAACACAATCGGTTGCATCAAACTCGTCTGAAACGATGCAAGAGGCCGAAAGTGTTGAAGATTCTTCGTCATCGTCAAGCACGCAAGTGACTGTACAGCAACAGGCGGTCGCTTTGGTTTCGCCACGCCAGCATGAGAATGCACCGCAAAATATTGTTGCACCACAACAAGTCATTGATCAATTGCATGCGGCCAGTACATCCGCATCGTCGTCAACATCGGCTGGTAATCAAAGTCAATCGATCACAATGAGCACACACAATCGTGCCACATCAACCAGTAATACGGTAACGACATCACAAGCCGGTCATAAACGGCCTCGCGATGCGGAAACTGACTCAACCGATGAGATTTCATCGGATCATGGCCAGAAAAAACCGCAAATCAAACGAACCCGAACACAAATCGGCTCCAGCACTTCGCAAGGCGTCAGCGAATCGTCATGTTTAGATGTCGATTATCAGGTAGGCTTAAGTGCAAAGTTTAAACAAATCAAACAATCAAAATGGATCGAAATCTCAATTGATCATAATTTCTCAGGTAACCACATCCTCACAGCGTGATCAGGACGACGAAAATATTTTGATTGTCGATTCGGAATCTGACGAAGAGATGCCAGATGATGGTCCAGTTGAGCCAGATGATGCCATTCAATTCGAAGATGAAGGTGATAATGTTGAACCATTTGAAGAAGCTCAAGGTAATATTCTCGCATGAAAATGCACCAGCATTTAACGACATTTCCTAAAGCGTTATTTTTTGTTCATCGGCCGTTCATAGGTGAATCGACTGATATGTATGCTGAGACTCTTCAATCCGACAATAACGAAGTTGATGTTGATGACAGCAGTGAACCAAATCAATCAAATCCAAACGCTTCGACCAGTTCATCTGCGGCAAATGTTCAGATCTTGGGTGATCAAGCCAGTACAGATAATACGGCACAGCCACAGGAAACTCAGCAAATCCAGGCGATAAGCGCAAGTGATTCTGGTTCCAGCGGTCCTTCCACGCCATCCACATGGAGGGGCCAAGCTGCACAAACACCATTGCGCCAGCAACAGGTAATTTGCGTTTCAAAAATATTTCGGAACTAACCAATATCTATGTCGAAAACAAGCATATTCACACGTTGCTCCTATTGAAAAAAAAAATAGACATCCACTCCGCTAACACCAACACAACAAGGTGCACAGTCACAGGCCTCGGCCCAGAATGCTCAACAACAACAGCAACAGCAACCAATTATGATCAACTACGAAGAATCTGGTGATGATAGTATTGTGCCAAGCACACCAACTTTATACGTTCCACGACGAGCTGATGGCTTCAGCGAGGCTGTCAGTTCACCCCAACCCCATGTAAGTTGATTTGTACATTTAATTGAAAATAATCACTGACCACATTTTTCCAACAAATATTTCATTTAATAGCATCAAGCGCATCAACAGCCTGCAGCACGTTTCACGTTTGCAGAGTCAGCAACACGGGCATCCGAAGGAATCGATGACACTCGTATTGACCTAACACAGTTAGATGAATCGGGACGTAGCGTTTCGACCGTTCCATCACAGTCTCCACGCGATACAAGCTCGGCAAATGAAACAAGTAGCACGTCGGCAATATTAACCACCGCTCAAGTTGAACCAGTCGCTGGTGCTAGCACAAGTTCAGCTACCGAAGCAAGCGTTCCACAAGTATTGGTTACTGATGATGTTGAAGGTAAAATCACACAGCCAATAAAACTGTTTCTGCCTTAACAATGACTGCTGAGTGACAACAAGAAAGTCAACAAATCATTTTAATTTCATTCGTTACATTTTTGTCTCCTCTAGAAGTGTCTGAATTTGCTGATGACAATGCATCAACCACCGAAACCGATGAAAACAAAGTATCTGAAGAGATTGAAGATATCGAAGACGAAGAAGGAATTGATGGTGTTTCGTCGGAAGGTGAAAAGACATCGGGTGGTAACGAAACCGTTGAGGTAAATTCGATTGAACAACCCCAATTATTCCATGGAACACCGAAAAAAAATAAACATATCGATCTATTTCAGACTGAAGAAGAAGGTCGCGAAGCCGAAGTAGCCACGACTTATCAAACAAGGTATGCAATACAGTCAATTTGTTTTGTTCTTAATTTCAATTTTCACAAAATGAAATTGCATTCGAAACGAGTTCTCTAAAATACTGCAAGTGGTTGTTTTTCATTTCATATTTTAAAAATTGACTAAAAGTTATTTGAAAAAAATAATGATGCAATTGTTTTAACAAACTTGAAACATGTGAAAATTCTAGAAAACAAAAAGTTGGCCACAAATAATCGATTTCTTTTCAAAATATTTCAATTTCACGATGAACAGAAGCTCACGTGGTCGAGGCACGCCAAATTCATATCAACGCGGTCGTCGTAATCTTCGCGGAAGACCACAGCCAATTGTATGGCAAGATCAAGGTAAGTGATTCAAATTGACATTTGAAATATGTATCGATGTACTTAATTGGGACGTTTATTGCGTGTTTAGGTATGAATCAACCAGATTATCAGCAACAACAAAATTCTGGTTCACCAAATCGCGGTTTTAGTCCTCAACAACAGGCACAAACTCAACAGGGCCGTGGTCAACGACGACGAATGCGTCGTCCAAACTATTCTCGTTTCTAAATTCACTTACACGCAAGCTAGAATGCAACAAAACAAAAACAGAAAACCAACTCAAGAAAAAACAAAATCGCGAACTTTTGTTCCATACACACATTCATACATTTAATTAGGGCCGAACGGCGAAAATACTTGATTCAATCATAGAATTTATCCAATGTTCATGAAAAAAACCAACCAAGAAGAAAAAAAACTACGTATGTAATAAGAATGTACCAAACATTTTTTTGATAAATAAACTATGACTAAAATTTAAAAAAAAAAACGAACCGATTTTCTAAAATGACAAAGAGAGTATGGATTTAAATGAGAATATCGGCAATTGTGACCATTTATTTGTTTACATAGTAATGTAAAATGTCTAATTCAAGTAGGCAATTAATAATATTGTCGGTGATATTGAGTGTAAGCCAACAATCCGCAAATCCTTTCAGTTTGTACTTATTTTTTCTTCTTTAATTCAACAACAAGTGCTGTCAATTATTATTATTATTATTAATATTATTATTATTATTATTATTATTATAGTTATACGGAATATGAATGTGCAGCAGCATTTATGGTAAGTGGGATAAGTGGGTAACATTTTGCTTATTAATCTAGATTATTATTAGTTCGTTTGAGGCAATATTTTTATTTATATTTCTTTGTTTTTCGCGTTGCATTTTTGCAGCTTTCAAGAATTCAAAATAGAGAGTTGAGGTCTTAGCTTAAGTCGTTCAGTTGAACAAGGCGATTAAAACACAGTTGAGAAATTTTAAAATTGGTTATGAGTGAACGTTGCAAGAATTGCTTATGAATAGAAAACAAGAGAAAAAAAACAGTTCGAAAAAGAAAACACACTGTATTCGCGATTCTTCCGAATTTTTTTTTTTCGAATGCAAATTTTATGTGTTTGTGTGTGGGAATCGATATTTGTTCGAGTTTCCAAGTATTGCGAATGTGTGGATGATGAGGAAAGAAGAAGGCACTGAAAATTGAAAGTTAGATTAGATTTTTTTTCTTTTGTCAGTTTTCAATTATAATTTGTTTTTTTTTCTTCTGTTCATTTCTTCCCGTAATGAGCAAGTGATATATGTATATATATATATATATATATATATATATATGTCCAAATAAATGCGTTGCCATGTACTTGTTTAATCCAAAATAGTCACATAAAATGATTGTCGGTTTAATATAAATATTTCAATCAATTCTTTTCGATAAACCTTCAATTTGTTTGTATTCGATTTTTGTTTCATCAATGTAAAAAATAAAAATCCGCAGCCAAATTCTTAAGGCGAAGAAATGAAATGCATTCTATTATCTACAAAAAAAGCAAAGTGATGCTGTGTAGCGAATTCTCTTCATTCTTATTCTAATTTATATTCTGTTTAGGATAATAAACTTGTTTGTTTCTTCCTTCAAAAAACGTTTGGAATTTTTTCTTGTAATTAATTTTGGCCACAGCACAATTTAACCTTATATAAAATATTTATTAATTTTATGTTTATTTTTTTGTTATTAATAATTTAATTTATGTTTTTCTTATTTTGTTCAATATATCGAAAATCAGTGTCTAAAATCTAGAATTTTATTTTAGCAGCATTAACATGCCAATGGAAACTAATTTCAAAAGCTGATTTATTGATGAGATGTTGAAACCACATGTTTGAAATTCCCTTAACATGTTTGGTGCATTCATCGTAAAACGATTTGCATAAATTATTGTTTACTTACAAAAAGTCTTAGTGAATGTTTTTTTAAAAGCATCCTTACTCGCATGAATTCCAATTATTTTTTTGTGTTTAGTATTTCAACATGCAAGTTTCCATTATTCATTTGAATGGAATTTAATTTGTTCTTCATCAGGCAAAATGTATTGTTAAGTGCATACATGTGACATTGCATGGCCTTTTAGGCGGTCTCAACCGATGAAGATTCAAGCTGAAATTTAAATAAAATCAAATAAAAGCATTCAAACTATCAATAAAATAGTTTTCAAAATTCAATGCAATTCGATCCATTTTCAGAGGTTTGAATTGAATGTTTGCTCAATTCGCTGTTTCGATATGTTTTTAGGCGTTCGTTAGTAATGTACGTATGTATATATGCTTCGTTCAATGGCAAATTTCACTTGATTTTCTATCCAATATTACGCAAAACTATCAAAATCCCACGGCATAAATTTCGCCTCAAATAAAACCGGTATTCAATGGCTTTATTCATGATTGAACAATTCAAAACGCATCACAATGTAATGTGCGAATTGTTTGAGAATAAAATGTATTTTGTTAAAATTTAAAATCCGATGTCACATGTTGATGTGCCAAGCAAACAAAAAAGTGACATTTCTATATTTTGTACACCTTTGTTGTTATTCTGTTGAATCATGTCATTTTGATGGCTCTTTCATTTTGCGATGCGTGGAATTGAAGTGTCGAACATTAAAACCGTGTCCAATTTTTCCCAGAAATGTACTGCGTGATGCATCGAATGGGCTTCTATGATTACTTTGCGATTCAGTCATATTCGATGTATCGTACGGTTTAGGTGGTGGTGGTGGCGGCCAAACGAAAGTGTTCGAATGTGTCGCTGACGATGAGCCATTCGGAGGATACCAGTTTTTATAACTAATTGATGCATTATTATTATTATTATTATTCAGTGACGTGAACCCGTTATTTTGGGTTAAAAGTAACCCTCACGTTCGCACAAATTTATACACGACGAGAAATACCAGAATGGAAACGACAAACAAAACCACGGCGGTGATGACTTTAGCGAATGTGTTCAGCAGCGATTCATGTGAATTGGTTGGTCGTGTGGTGTGTTTATCGGTGCGACGTTGTTTAGTTGCCAAGCCACGAGCCAACGCTGGAAATGCTAGCGATTGAGTAAATGTTAACTTATCAAATCGCAATGATTCACTCAACGAATATGGACCAACGGAACCCCTGGCAGCGGCTCGCAAAAGGACACACTCCAAATCCAATGCATCGAATAGTGAATAGCGATTTGTCATCGTTGACGATCGGCGTCGATAGTCTGGATCCTTTTCCTGTTGAAGCCATGTGTCACAAAACCTACAAATAAACAAATTTTCTTCACAAAGTTTCTACATTTCAATTTCAGCTGCCGTTTTACCGATGACTTTTGCTACTCGATGCAGCGATAGACGTTGTCGAAGATGTAATGCTTGGACTGGCCAAATAAAATTGTTGACTGAGTTCGCCGCGATGTTTCAAACTCGCATTGGATAGATACTCTGTCAAGTCCTCGGTTGATGATTGATCCGGTGATATTTGACCTCGGCTTGGAGGTGGTAGTAATCGTGCATGATCTGGGTGCAGAAGGGCACTTGATGGTCTTCGCTGTTTGCTACCGTTGTTCAATGAAGGTGTTGGCGATCCGTTTGGTAGATATGTGACTGTGTTGGGTGATGGAGACGCTTGGCTTGAATCAATTCCCGAATCACGACCATGTATTTGATCACTGAACGATGAATCTCGCCGCTCATTCTCATTGCTCTCCCCACTTTCATCTACATAACTTCCAAATACAAAACTTTGGCCATCTGCTTGGCCTCGTGGCGAGTCCTTAACCCACAATGGTGCAGAGAAGAAATGGAAAAAAGTGAGAGAGAAAAAAAACTGACTTTATTCACAGATAATTAAATTAATGAAATAATGTGAGCGTATAGCTTACTTGGCTCGGCCAAACCTGCAACAAAGGCAATGAACATGTGGGCTTATTGAAAACGGGACTCAGTTGGAGTTGTTGCAATTTTTGGCCTTTCATCTGTGTTGGACTTTCAGCTCCTGTCGATTCATCGGGAGAGGTGGCTTTTGGAGAGCGCCACAGCTTTTTCAGTCTCGATTCATGTCGTTTTTCTGGTTTCTATTTGCATGAAGCAGAGAGGAAAAGCGGAAAATATTCCAAATATATAACCTTCACTCATGGTGCGATGCTCATTAGCACATACATTTACCTGCATTTTGTATGAAATCTCACCCCCTTTCTACTTGATATCATTCCAAACGTCGATGTGATAAATTTGGTCTTGCTACCGCGTAGGCCTCAATTATTTCTAACTAAAAAGGCATTCTCCTGCAAAATATAAAACGATATACGTATGCATTGCATAAGTCGATTGCTTTGACTTCTTGAATTTCATCAACGCAGAGAAACATGAAAAATGAAAGAAACGTAGCAAGAGAGAATGAAAGAGAACTGGCGGAAAGCTTGTAAATGTGAATGGTTCTTTGTACAAAAGCGAAGAAACAATTTAATGCATAGTTAAGGAAATCTTGTATGGAATGCTCCGTCGACAATTTTGCCTTCCATTTTTTGTTTTGTTCCAAAGTAGAGTGACAAGAGTGTACGTATTTGCTTTTGGAACCGAAATGGTATTAGTGTGTGTGCATGCGGTAGATGTATCGAGCGCGGCAATAATGTTGCTGCATGCATTCTGCGTTATAGCTAACAAGAAAATTCCACATTAAAAACACATTGTTGATATTAGTTTTATTATGGTGGATGTTGTTGTTGCTGTTGTGCATTTGTTCACTATATGGCTAGCCGAATGTTGTGCGTGCCGTAATGTGCGCACCATCAACGGTAAAAGCTACATGTCTCCAAACAAATACGAAAAATAATAAAAGTGAATCTCTTTCTCCTTTCCAATTGGAGTGTAGCGGTTTTGTTTACTCTCGTATAAAGCTTTGATTACTGATACTGAGACCTTGAACAAGCTAAACACTCTTTTGCTCTGAACTTTGGTATAGTTTTTACTATTATACCCCGCGAGCGCTATTATCATACGTTTTATTTTCATTCTCCTTTTAAATGTTCACGTCTGTGCCTATGGTCGATTGGTCTAAAGTGCGTGTTTATGATGCATTATGATGATGTCTGCTCTAGACATTTTCACATTTGTATCATTGAAACGTCGAAAACATTCAATTCCGGCATATGATATTGAGTGTGACCAAATCGAATGGTCGAAAGTGACTTCGATCGAATGAATCAACGCTAAAACATAAAGCACGAATCGAAAGCAGCTACACACCGCACGCGCTATCAACATTGTATTCGTTCGGTTTTTATTTGTATTGATTTAATGCAGCAGCCATCGATATCGATGACTCGGAAATAAAAATTTAAAGCGAAATGGATTCGATACGGGAGAAAACGTGAATAACACGAAGGTAAACATTGAATTGTGTGTGTGTGTGTGTTGGTATCAACGATGTTCGCTCACACAAACGCAAAGAGCGAACGCCAAGGAAAAAACCCAACAAGAGAAAATCATCTGAAGAATAAAAACGAGAACGAATAAGAAATAAAAAGGATTCAGTTAATTTTCAGAAGACAAATCGAATATGAATTATTCATCGGGTGGAAGCTGAGACCGAAAACAACTGTGGCGACACGAGCGCCCTCAATTCAAATAGGAAAATCAATGTAATTTCGTAATTTTTTTCTGAACTAAACAGCGCGCCAATTTGAATTTTGTTGATGCTTCCACCCTATGGAATTATTTACACCAGTGGAGATGATATGGTTGGGGTAGTTTGGGAGATAAAATATATGTTTTTGGCAGGTGTGTGAGATATTGTGCGCACTACGGAATCAAATTCAGGGAATCGTTTGTGGACGATTTACACGGTAGCGATTCCCCTTTAGCTGGCAATATCAAGGACTCGGCGAAGAGGCAACAACGAAGGGAAAATGAAAAATGTTAGCATTCAACCTTTGTTTGAACTGTATAGAGCGCGGCCAGCGAGCTTACTGTTGATTGCAGACATCCAACTGAAACGCAATGAAAATGCACATTCAATGCTAATCAGTGACCAGTCCATTTTGGATGGATAATTTATGCTGCATGTTTTCAATGTTTTCACATTGTAAGTATAGGACCTGTTCGATATGTATGAATATGCTATAGTATGCGCTGTACGCTACGGTACGCTGCATTGCTGTGCAATGCAATCCAATGTAATGCAAGTGCACTTGGAGAAGGACACACCAAAAATGGAATGTGCAAATGCCTGTTTGCTAGCATTGGTCATTGTTCATTGCCATTGTTTGTGAATTAGCCCGTAATACCGAAGGATAATTTCGTCAAATCAGTGAATATGTGTTGTTGTCATTATGATTTCATGGCTTTCAATACCGACATGACCGCAAATATACATATCAATGGCAGGACATTGATTAATTAGAAATGAGAAATTATTGATTTGATCTTTATCTAGAATGAAATGTCATTTTATATCGATTTTTTTCGGCCTGTAATGTTTTGGTTTATTTTCGTCGATGTATGACCATTTCCACTTTTTATTTCGTCGTCCTGCCAAAATCCGAAATGCTCGAGGCCACGTGCAATTAGAGTCGATTGCCATTGATATTACACAGGTGTGTGTTTGTGTGTGTCGACAACACAATAACACTCAATCGCAGAATATAATCCAAGCTCCACAATAGCCGATTATGTGTTCTAATTTGAATTACTCATTCATTGCTTTGGTATTACGTTTTATTCGTTCTCCACAATGCAACAATTGATACGATGTATGTATCTGTGTATGTTTGCTTGAGCACCTCACGATATTCAGGAGACTTTCATAAAAAATGTTTCATGTGGCAGTGTCGCGACCATCACAACAATTTTCGCATTCGAATTTCACTGCCATCATCATTATAATCAATAAGCGCACAAACAAAGTCTTTTTTTAAGCCAATCATTCTCAAGACTCTTCTAAAAATCGATAGGAATGCTATGAATGCTATGGCTATATGGTTGAATGTTTGTACAACCAAATGAAAATGGGAATAAACAAAAAACGGAAACACACTAAAGTCAAGAACACCATTCAAACACTATGGGTTGGTGTATAGTATAAAGACATTCATTGTTTATCGTTCCCAATGAAATTTTATGTTTACATAGAAAATGAAATGACGGTGAATTACCCAAGTTCAATGTAATAACGACGGCAATTTAGATTTGCATAACAATTTCATTTAGACTAAAATTTCCGCGCGCGCTTAGCATGAACTGTAACAATAAATAATTTCACAACCGAAACGGAAATATGAACTCGCACAATATTTCTTATAATTTTTCTTTCTTCGTTATTTTCCTCTCTGATTCGTGTGTTCCCCTATCACGAATATGTGCTATAGTTTGGCTAGATTAGAGACTGGCTGGTTGGCGGTCTCGGTTAACGTTTTCTTTGTGTGTTTTTTTTTTCTTTTTCTTTTTCTTTCGTATCGCAGATATTCGTCCGAAAAATAAAAATCGAATGGAAATTGCACTTGGAACGAAACAATGAAACACGTATTTGCATGAGCGATGTAAACAGATCTGATCGCTTTCGAATTCACCAACTAACTGTTGCGAGTGGCACTCTCCCAAGCATTGGGGATGTGAACGCGCATCGCATGCTATTTTCTTTCCGTTCTTTATGATATGTTGTTGCCACTTTTACTTCCACATGAAGCGGAAAGAGAGGGAGAGAGAGAGCACATTCATTTTCAAGTTCTAGCTTGAACAACATACCAACATACCAAAACTCCAACAGCACGTGACCTATGTGGATAAAATGTGTGTAAGTTTTTCCACTCACTTATGTTTTTGGCAATTTTCCTGGATCATACTTAAACGGTGTGTAGTATTTTATTTAATACCGCGATACATCGTAAGCCGTCCATCCACCATCATAAGCCACACACTGGTATGTTGGTAAGTCAACGCACATATTGAACTCTCAACAGGACAAACACATGAAACATGGGATATATGCACTTGTTGGCTCGAACACGAAAAAAAAATAGTGGCCGTATGCGGTGCGGCTGCCGTTGTTGTTATTGATGCCTTTTTTCCTTCACTATTTTTTCTAGTTAGAAACCTGCTTTTATATTGTTAAAGTGCCCTGTTACATCGTAAAATGAACATTACATGTTCACTCTAGCCACTGGGGATTCTCATGCTTGGGTCACGTTAACAATATGCTTCTAGCTACCGAACGCAGTGTGTTCATTATGTTTAGCTCTGCAAATGTTTTGTTTTCTTTGCGTCCGTCGATTTGTTGGCGCTTCGTAGTGTTTTTTCTTCTCTCTCTCTCTCTCTCTCTCTCTCTCTCT